AACATACAAATATCAATAATATTACAAGGATATTGACAAAATTAATTACAACAGTAAAAGAAAATAAGACCTTCATTACTGGCATTCCTAATTTACTCATTACATTTGATGTATAGAATGAACTTGCCTTTGCTTTTTTTTATAAATACTCCAAGAAAAAATATAAATACTATAAAAAAGACAAGTAACCATACAGCATCAGTCAAAACTCACTACAAATCACACACTATGATTTTAATAACAAAATAGTGACTTCTAATCACGAATCAAAAGATCTCAGCCTTTTTTTGGATGCAGTGAATTTTTTAACAGATTTTTTTTTACTTTCAAAAGTTTGCATCACTTACTGCAGTATTTTAGTCTATCGAATGTGAGGATTGCCAGCCATAAATTTGTGAGGTGATACAGAGACAGATTTTTCATTAGGGCTAGCAAAACAGTTTTATACTCAGTTTGGACGCTCTCCCTGATCAGTGTCACTTGTTGAATCATCACAAGTTCTTCACCACTGTTCATCATTGGAAAAAAAAAAGCATCCACAAAAAACATTCACTCTTTCAACAGTTGGAGCATCTTTGACTCTTCCCCTTTTGACAGAAGTTTAGTATTCTTTGGTGTCATTTGGATCCTCTTAAAGGTTGCACCATATTTGCTCATGTACTTTCGCACAAAGTCCTTGGTTTTATGTTTTACACTCTCACTGCACTCTAGCAGGTCTATGCTCTGGAGCTGCTTCAGTTCCTTCACCATGACAAAGTGGGTCAGCTGTTCATGGAAAAAAGAATGATGATATTAATGGAATGCTGATGCAGCTCTGTACTTGATGCTTATATCAACTATGATTGTTACAAAAGAAAATCATCACTAATATAAATGTTAGATCTACCTTTCGAGCCAGGTACTTGAAATCTTCAGTGCAGGTGATTTTGCCCTCCTTGCAGTCACCTCGTCTATATGGGTTCAGCACTGAAACAATGAAAGTTGCCATCCTGGACCTGAAGCTGTCCTTGATCTTCCGTGCAGCTTCACTATTATCTGCAATGGCTGAGGCTGCTCGTTCTTTGCTCTGAAATAAGAGTTGTAAACATGCGGGTTACATTTCACACCATGATGCCAAATATCAACCACTACAATCTAGATGACATGACCATCACATCATAAGAAATTTGGCTATGGGCTGGGGTGATGCAAAATTGCCATTGTGAGCATTTTGGCTGCAGGAAGGGGTGACAGAAATGCCTTACCAAGAGTGCATAAAAGCTCATGGAGGGTGATTTGACTCATCTAGCATTTAGTAATGGGCTTTTGCATTATTTTCATCAATAAATATGTATGGAATGTACTGTCCTTGAGCCGTGACTGGAATTATTTGAATAATGCAAATCATGGCAATTAAGGACATTGTAACTTGGCAAAAATACTAAAAATACTTATGCAGAAAAAGATTAATGTTACAAGGGGAGCCATAGAGTTGTGTCACTCCACACGAGTGTTTACATGCACCCAGCCTACGAGCCATGCACCCATGTGATGACAGTGAAGTATTTGGGTCCGATGGGTTAACAAGAAGTTATAATTCAGTAATCAACAAATTTCATATGAAAGAAGACAGACATGAAACTGTTGTCACAGGACAAATAAAGGCCACCAGATATAAAAAAGTTATAATCAATATGCATCTCTCTCTCTCACACACTCTCTCTCTCACACACTTGCACTCTCGCACTCTCGCACTCTCGCACTCTCACATTCACACACTCACTCTCGCATACACACACTCACTCTCGCATTCACACACTCACTCTCGCATTCACACACTCACTCTCGCATTCACACACTCACTCTCGCATTCACACACTCACTCTCGCATTCACACACTCACTCTCGCATTCACACACTCCTCTCGCATTCACACATCACTCTCGCATTCACACTACTCACTCTCGCATTCACACACTCACTCTCACATTCACACTCACTCTCACATTCACACACTCACTCTCGCATTCACACACTCACTCTCGCATTCACACTATCACTCTCGCATTCACACTATCACTCTCGCATTCACACTATCACTCACTCTCGCATTCACACTCACTCTCCACATTCACACTATCACTCTCGCATTCACACTATCACTCTCACATTCACACTATCACTCTCGCATTCACACTATCACTCTCACATTCACACTATCACTCTCACATTCACACTATCACCTCACATTCACACTATCACTCACATTCACACTATCACTCACATTCACACTATCACCTCACATTCACACATCACCTCACTCACACTATCAACTTCACATTCACACTATCACCCTCACATTCACACTATCACTCTCACATTCACACTATCACTCTCACATTCACACTATCACTCTCACATTCACACTATCACTCTCACATTCACACTATCACTCTCACATTCACACTATCACTCTCACATTCACACTATCACTCTCACATTCACACTATCACTCTCACATTCACACTATCACTCTCACATTCACACTATCACTCTCACATTCACACTATCACTCTCACATTCACACTATCACTCTCACATTCACACTATCACTCTCACATTCACACTATCACTCTCACATTCACACTATCACTCTCACATTCACCACTATCACTCTCACATTCACACTATCACTCTCACATTCACACTATCACTCTCACATTCACACTATCACTCTCACATTCACACTATCACTCTCACATTCACACTATCACTCTCACATTCACACTATCACTCTCACATTCACACTATCACTCTCACATTCACACTATCACTCTTCACATTCACACTATCACTCTCACATTCACACTATCACTCTCACATTCACACTATCACTCTCACATTCACACTATTCACTCTCACATTCACACTATCACTCTCACATTCACACTATCACTCTCACATTCACACTATCACTCTCACATTCACACTATCACTCTCACATTCACACTATCACTCTCACATTCACACTATCACTCTCACATTCACACTATCACTCTCACATTCACACTATCACTCTCACATTCACACTATCACTCTCACATTCACACTATCACTCTCACATTCACACTATCACTCTCACATTCACACTATCACTCTCACATTCACACTATCACTCACATTCACACTATCACTCTCACATTCACACTCACTCTCACATTCACACTCACTCTCACATTCACACTCACTCTCACATTCACACTCACTCTCACATTCACACTCACTCTCACTCTCACTCTCACATTCACACTCACTCTCACTCTCACTCTACACTCACACACTCTCACTTCTCACTCTCACTCTCACTCACTCTCACTCTCACTCTCA